GGTTTAGGGTTTCGGATTTAGGGGTGGAGTGGTTCTTTTTCTGGGGGCGAAGGGGAGGGGGTTCAGGGCTTGGGGTTTAGAGTTTAGGGTTGAGGTATGATTTCTTTACCTTCTTGGTGGTCCGATATTGCAGGCTATTTTTGCTCTCTGGGCGAGTTAGGGTCTTGCATCCTGGGGCGGGCTCGGAGGACTCGGGGATGGACCCTCAGGGCGAGGCTCTGAAGCAAGCAAGCGAGTACGTGAGTGTTAGGGGTTAGGGTTTGCCTCCGATGAAAGTAAAAAAAAGCACAGAATCGCATGCGAAGCTGTGGATCCCGGAATGATATTTGTGCCCCGTATGTGGAGACTTTAAGAGCCTACAAGTAGCAGATATGAGCCGAAACCCTAAGAGCCGAAGAAGCCCAAGCTGTAACCGCATCTTCCGAGCCGCCTTTGCACCACTCTCGCAGGCGACTGTTCGGTTGACATAGCCGGTACCACAAGAGCTTGAGCAAGCTGACCTTTGGGCTCAGGCTTCGGGGTTTGCTTGTTTGAAGCCTCGGATTTACAGTAGGGTTTTAGGAACTGGCTTTGGGGTTTTTGGGCTTGGGAGTTTAGGGATCCCATGTCCTTCTCTTTGCCAGCGCTGAAAGCACGGTGTGGCGGGGTGTGGCTCCGTGCACCCGACATAACGGAGTAGTGACTGGTAGAACCTCGTCCAAAGCTTGCTTGGCCTGTCCTGGGTCACTGAGCCCGCAGCCACGATGACACGGACCATTGACAGCCGGATATCTGTCACAAGAACTTGGGTAGCTGTCAGAATCAGAATGAATCAGCATCTCACAGATTCGTGGAGGGTGCAGGAAGTGAAAGCCTCATCCCCTCAAGCGTGGCAGGCTCACATTGTAACACGACTCCAGGATCGCTGGCTGCTGCGAGTCGCAATCCGCAAGGATACCTGCAGGTGAATCTGATACACTGCCGGGCAGCGCAACGGAACAGGACACAGCCTGCGGCTCGGATTTCAAGTTGAAGTACAAACGCAGACACCTCTCCCCACTGCCCGCCTGAAGAACACGATACATTCCGGGTACGGAAACCCTGGCCACACATGGAAGAGCAGGAACTCCACCTTAGAAGCTCGGAGTCTCTGCCCTCGCTTGAAAGGCCAGAGCTCGAAAGATGTGCGCGCGTGCGTGCGTGCGCGCGTGCGTGCACATGCCTTTAGTGCACATGCCTTTAGCTGGATAGTCAGTTCGTGAGCATTGCGTTGTTTCGGGTGCTTCTGTATGTGTTTGCTCATGGTTTTTTTATGCCGTTCTTCTTATCTGGGATTCAGGCTCTCCCTCCACCCAGCTGCACGCCGCAGTCTCGTGGCAGACCTCTGTCGCGTCGGGTCGTGCTCGACCACAGTCTTCCTGCATGAGGGGGCTTTAGGGCGTCGGCGTCCGAACCCCAAGCTTCTTTTAGTGATTACCACGAATATGCCTTTATTTGACAGCGAGCCATAGGGCATATTCATATAGGCCATGAGTATGCCACCAGTAATCTGAATGGGGTCTACAGAGGATGGGATAAGGGCTGAGCTCGGGCTTACTCTTGGCCAGGGCTTCGAGTCCTCGCCCATTGGAACTGTGAGCTCCAGACAGATAGACAGACGGACGGAGGACGACAGCCAGACAGAAAGACAGACGGATAGGTAGACAGGTCTACGTAGATACACATCAACATACACACGTAAATACAACTCGTGCGGCTCTGCACTCTGCAGCAGGCCTCGGACATGCCGGAGCACGTCCTGGGCAAAGCAGACGATGACTCTTTCAGGCGTTTCGGGTTGCTCAAAATCAATGGGTCTACGCTTTTTCGGGCCTATGATTTTGACAGTCGCTCCTCGCCCACGAAAGTGCTGACAGATTCAAGCTTGCAGGCTAGCTCAAACCCCACATACCTCGACGACCAAGGCCGCAACACTGTTCTCTCTCGCGTGCCGTAACCGCACCTCGGCCCGTTCAAGAGACCGGCTGTCCTTCGGTGGCTTCGGAAGAACCTCACAGATGGCTTCCTTCACCCAAGGAGGCCCACAGGCCCAGACTGGCTGCTGCATGTGCTCCAGTTCGATGCCAGCCACATACAGCCGGATGTGGCCTCGGCTGCTCGCTTTTCCAAGCAGCTTTTGGGCCGCCGAAGTCACTGGAAAAAAGCCTGACAGGGGTCCCGACGTAGCAGTTCCGGTGTGTCGATGGCAATGCACCACAGTCAGATTCCTCAGTAGCTCTAGGACTCATAAACCCTAAACCCTAAACCCCAGTAGCTTTAGGACTCATCGCCCTGCTTTTGGCACCCAGTCTTGCAGGGTCCAGGAGACGATGCAGGTCAGGTGCACTGCGGTTGATAAGATGCATGACCCATCGTAAGGAATATACTATAATTTCCATAGTTTAGGGTCCTTAAGGTCATGCAGGATTCATATCATCAACAGTAGCATTCTGTGTGTGGGGCAGAGGTGAAACGGAAACAGAGCCTGCGGAGATCCCACGGTTGGCTCCGATCAGATCAACCCCGCAGGCAACACAACTCCACTGCCCGGGGCTCCTGCACTGCCCGTGGGACAGGTCCACTGAAGCTCTTCGACCCCAGCCCCACACCTGCCACAAGCGAGCTGAGAGAAGCTTCCATGTGATGCATGCGCAGCGAAGCCTCCAAGCGACGTGTCATGGCGAAATCTTGTTGCTGGCTGCAGAGTGTAACTACAAGAGCCATTCAGAATGGCCTGTCACCGAGAAACACAGAACTCATGCTGACGATGGCACTCAAAAAAGACATCCTTGCCGTCAGCCTATCGAGGCTTATCGAAGTACCCCCAAGAGAGACAGAGCAGGACTTTGGAGGCCGAAGGAATGATCCTTCTTGAGGCAGGGGCGTTGCGTTGCACTGCGTCCAGGAACTGAGAACCTGAAGGACTCGGTTTGGCAAGGCTGGAAGCGGGCTTGGGCAGTGGTTGCTGAACTCTAGGGTTGGGGGGTTCGTTCGTACATGTTCGCGTGCGCAGGCGCAGGCGTTGCACAGGTTGTGTGGACACGAAGCTCACGCGGAATGCCCATGCACAGCGAAACTCCACGTCCTACATTTTCATGCGACCCTGCCGAACGTACATCAACTCTTGAACCCTAAACCGTAAACCCAAAACCTGGCAGTTCACTGTATACCACAACCCCCGAAACGAAAAGATGAAGTCTACGTTCTAAAGCCCCTCAAACGTTACACCCTCAAAGACTCATAGGTTTACATGCTTAAATCCTAAACCCTAGCCCCCTTCAACCCTACCCGAATCTTAGCTTTGCAACTCACAGGCCCAAACCACCCCTTCTTCAATGGATTCACACCAACCCCATAGCCCCAAAAAAGACAAACTAACCTAAACCGGAAACCCCTAAACTCTAAACCCTAAACCCAAAACCCAAAACCCTAAACCCCTAAACCCTAAGCGAACAGAACAAAGCTCGGAGCCGGGCCCAGCTACAGTTCTGCGTCGCGAAGCACAGGGACACGGTCTCGGGCATCGGCTTGGGACAGTCCTCGCAGCTCGGCTCTACCAGTTACTTTAGGGGTTTAGGGTTTAGGGTTTAGGGTTTAGGGTCTAGGGTTTAGGGTTTTTTTTGAGTTCTTTAGATTAAAGCATTAGGGAATAGCCTAGCTCTGAACGCCAGTCACAACCTCAGCTAGCTTTCAAGATATGATCGTCCACGATGCACCGCGGAAGTCCACCCCAACCAAGCAGTGAAAACTAGCCACACACACACACACATGCTGCACTCCTCGATGTTGCCGCTTGGGCAAGAGACGGAGCGCGTCCTGCTTCAGTGTCAGATGCGAGTATTCGACCCTGGCTTCTCCTTGCAATAGCAATGAAAAGAAAGTGCCTAATGCTTGGACATGTAGCTGATCATGATCGGGGTCCGTGTGCCCTCGCCACAACCGGTCGAACACTCCGACCTCATTGGCCAGGACATTCAGAAATCGACCTGCCTAACTATGAAAAGTCTGCTCGTCGAAGCGTTTCTCTGTCTGTCCATCCGTACCTTTAACCTTATGCTTCCAACTCCCCTTCTTCAACACTGTTTCTAGACTCTGCAACTCGAGCTAGGAGCTGCGCCACTCGCCCAGCGTCCAGAGGCAGCCAAACACGGAGCATCCAAGACTGTCCAGGAAGACTTCTCCGGGTTTCCAAGACTTCGGGGTTTAGGCTTTTAGCGTCCGTCGCCCTGCGAGACTCCAGCACAATGTAGCAGCCACTGCAAAGAATGGAAATGCTCCACTTTCGACAGCGACTGCATGCAGAGCCTGCACACCAGCAAGCACAGATGCGCCAAAAACAGGCATGCCTCTTCTCTGCGGAAGCCACGACATCGTTTCCACCCTCGCGGCATGCTCTCTCGGCTGAATTGGGCAGCCAGGAGCTGGGGTTTTTTTATGGCTCAAGCTCCATTACCGACGAAGCTGTGCAAGCAGTGGCAGTGCCTTTTTGTCCGCTCCGGGGCTGCGGATGCACATTCCAAGCGGCTGTGGTATCGGGGACCCTAATATAGTACCCTAAATAGTAGGACCCTTATTAATAAGGACCCCAAACTAAGGTACCACTTTTCGGAAACCTACGTCTTTGCTCTCTCTCTGTCAGTCCGAAAGCCCAAATTCTGTTCGTGGCAGGCGCTTGCCCAGCTCGTCTCCTACGGAAACGGGAAACTGGGGCCAGAGCCGCCAGGGCCATGCCGCCTCTGAAAGTTCTCGAGTGGGCGGAGAGGGTGAGGAAGCCTTCCTTGCCAGAGGCAGATAATAGCTGTCAAACTGCCAGTAGCGCTCTGCAACCCCGTGCCAGGTCTCGTCTCCCAGCCCACCCAACTCGATCTTACAGATGTCGCACGGAAGACCCATGGAATGGAGATCTTCCTGCGCCAGCCGGCAGAAAGCAGCGTGCTCAGCGATACTGTAGGGCGCCATTCCATTAAAGAACGAGAAGGCTCCTCCAGGAGCTAGCAATCGCGGCAGCTCCTCCTGAAATTGGCGAAGGTCCTCGTAAGTTTCTGACCAGGTGTCGAAGAAGATTGCGTCCAGAGAGCTGCTTTTGAGCTTTGGAATGATCTCTTGCCAGCGTCCTTCGTGTATGAACACGCCAGGCTGCTCATGCCAACCGCGGCGCTTCATCTCTGCGAGCACATCTTTGTGAGCTTCGATGATGTGATGCTCGCTTGGCCCTCGCTTGGACAGGAAGCCGTCTACAAGTCCCAAGCCAAATCCGACGTTGGCCACGCGAAGCCCTGCCGCCGGTAAGAGGAGCTCGGCGTGCCGTTTCATCAAGGGCTCCTCCCATCCCATCATTACAGCCTTCGAGTTGGCATCCAGAAGCCTCTTATCCTCGTACCGCAAGTCTTGCTTGAGATAGTGATCTGGAGCTTCGAGTGTCTGGCGCTTGAGAGGGGGCTCCTGCGGCTCCTGACAGGCAGTGGTGGACTGATCGGTAACAGGGCTGCTGGTACAAGCCTGCCTCTCAAGGCCATTGCTAATAGACATGGGCATGTCCGCACTGACTCCTGCTCGCGTCTGATGCAGGAAACCCGGTGCATGACAAGAGCTTCGAAGACTGTCCTCAGCAAGGGCTTCGGAGTCCGATGCACGACAATTAGGTCCAACACAGGACAAGTCCCAAAGTCTGCAGTCGAGCCTCTGTCTGCCTGCACGGAAGGCCAGATCGCCGGCGGTTGCCTCATCTCCATTCCGGAGGTTTGCGTCGGCACCACGCTCGATGAGGAGGCAAGCAGCTTCCAGGGCACCAGCCGAAGCAACTCGGTGCAACAAGGTGTCGCCTGTGCTGTCCCGGCATACCAGGAGCTCAGGCCACGATTCCAATGAGTCCTCCAGCTGCTCTGCGTCATCTGCAAGAGCCGCAGCCAAAGTCTCAGCCCATCTGTGCTGGGATTCGACGGCTGACGGAAGTGGATGCTGCTTCAGATCCTCGATAAGGCTCCTAACATCTTCCAAGCCAGTGGTTCCTCCCAGGGCCCTCACAGGAGCACCGGAGGCGATGGCTGCAAATGCCAGCCCCGCCGCTGCGCCCAGCTTGCCCTGCGGATTGAAGGCATCCGGATCTTTGGGCGAGTCGCCTAGGATGAGGACCACCTGAACGTGTCTCACCCTAGGTGGTTCCACCCTCGAGCAGCCTTCCACAGCGGCTGCGACTGCGCAGCCCCGCCCCTCCATTGCTACCTTTAGCTGCAATGCGACCTCGGACAGGGCCGCTGAAGCAAGGATCGCCAGCGCATCCACCCGACCGAGCAGAGAAAGCAGCTCTTGACTGCAGGACGCGCTCATTGCTTGCATGTCCTAGGTTTTGAGCCACTTCAAATGCTTCAACTCACGGTCTTGCCGGCCACATCGTCGAGAACCGCTCTCTGCAATTGCGGACAACCCACGCATTCCAATACGTTAATTATGAGCGGTTGCCCACTGCAAGAAACAACCCGTACCCCGTAGTGAGTCTTGCGCCGGTGTACGGGAAAATTACGGACAAAGCAGCCCGAAAGCAGGAATGCCTCTGACGTCGAGCTCGAAACCTGCTTCACTGCAGATTGAATGGGCGCTTAATCATAAAGCCCTTGCCACCGGCATCTCGTCAAGTACTCATTGTATTTGGCCACAAAATTCTTGCCATGCTGCAAATATGCAAAGATGAAATAAGACATCTGCATGCATGTAGCGTTTATGTATGTATGTACGTATGTACGAATGTACGTATGTATGTATGTACGTATGTACGTATCTTTGTACGTATGTATATGTATGTATGTACATTTATGTACATATTGTACGTATTTACGTATATACATATGCACATGCGTTTGTATGCATGCATGTAGTATGTATGCTGCTTGTATGTACGTATGTACGTATGTACGTAGGTAATCGTCTGTGCGTATGTACGTATGTGTGTACATTATACACATCCATACACATACATACACATGCATGCACATGCATATACATACACACTCCTACACATATACCCGTCCATAGCATGCATGCACATGCATATACATACACACTCCTACACATATACCGGTCCATAGCATGCATGCATGCATGCGTACTTACGTACGTAGTACACACATACATACACACACACATACATACATACATACATACATACATACATACATACATACATACATACATAACACACATACACACGTACATACATACATACATACATACATACATACATACATACATACATGACATACATACCTACCTACACAGAGAGAGAGAGAGAGGAGAAACGGACACGATCCTTGCCTGGCTGTCGTTGGAGCCATTTTCGTAGGAGCTGTTTTCCCACTCGGCCATGTCGGTTTCGTTCATCTCCGAATCGTTCACATCCGTGTCGTTCTCATCCGTATCCGTGTCGTTCATGTCTGCGGCATACCCGCCCACGTCTGACTCGTTCATCGGAGTCTCGTTCATCTCTGGCTGTTGCATTTCAGACATGTTCGAATCAGATGCATTCATCTCAGCCATGCTCATGTTCATCTCCGTCATGCTTGGCTCGGACATGTTTGGCTCAGACATGTTGTTCTCGGACATGTTCATTCCCATATCCATATGTCCTGTCATGTTCATCATTGTCACATTCTCCATGCTGTAGTTACTGTAGTTCGACTCCCACCATTCGTCTTCCTCCTGCAAGCAACCGATTCGTGCTCACATGCAGCACTGACTGCCGTGTGCGAAAGAAAACTGTTTGGTGGCAACAGCCTGCTTCGAGCGGCTGCCCGAGACAGAAAGAAAATTCGTGGCCATGGAAGCGGCAGTAGCTAAAACAAAAATGAGAATTCGACGCGCATCCTCCTCCATCTCGCTCATGTTGCTGCGGTTCGACATGTTGGATACATCCTTCTCTGCCTGTGCACGCACAAAAGAATGGCCGCCTGGAAAACACTTCATAAACCATCCCGGGACCCGGGACAGGTAGCTATCTTCAAGTATCTCTTTTCCCGAACCTCAAAGACCGGAAGTCCACCTTACCCTAAAACCTAAACCCTCGACCCTAAACCCTAAACCATTCTTCTGGGGCTCTGACCATGAAGCTGCCACTCTCCGCCTTCAGACTCAGAGCCGTCCGTTTCAGAGGCTTCACCACTTTTTGCGGCTGAGGGCTTCGAGGGCTCAGGGTTTGGGATTTAGGGTTTAGGGTTTAGGGTTTGGGGCTTAGGGCTTAGGGTTTGAGGTTTGGGGTTGAGGGTTTACGGTTTGGGGCTTAGGGTTTCGGGTTTGGTTTTTTTAGGGTTTCGGGCATTCTGCAGGGATGTAGGGCCTATGGGCTCTAGGGTATATGCAGCCCCGTGCCTTAAGAATAATGTATTCCGGTACACAACTTGATCTCACACCCTCGACCGTCTGTACGTCTGTACGTCTGTATGTCTGTATGTATGTATGTCTGTATGTCTGTTTGTTTGCATGTACATGTGAGTTATACAAATATGTGTGTATATATATAGAGAGAGAGAGAGATATAGATAGATAGATATATACATATATCGAAAGATAGTACATCGTGCATGTGCTGATACTGTTGTTAATGTGTCTTGAGCAACCAGCCGAAGTTGCTCTGCTCTTTTGTTCTCGATGCAGCTCGAGTGACGGAAGTGCTTGCTTAGATTTGGCACAACCACATTCTGACAAGTCAGACCCGCTAGCCGGAAAATATCACGAAATGGCAAAACTGAGACGCAATCTTATGATTTAGCTGCTATGCCCTGAGCTGCGCGAGACTGTCCGGCTTTGTCTCATGAAGCCCCAGCCGCTGCTTCAAAGCCCTGCTGCCCAGGACTGCAGGCCTCCCAAGCAGGCAGCGTGAAGTTCACGCGGGGCGCCTGGAGGCCGCCAACACAGAGCTCCTGGACCTCGCCGATCATGGGCAGACGTTTGGAGGAGCAGGACTTTTCGGCAGGATCGGTTGGAAGTATGCTGACTTGCTAGTGATTTCGAAGCGTAAGGCGCAGGCCCTCATCCAGTATTCCCTCTCCTCATCCAGCATGCTCAACTCGAGATGGCACCTTGGTGTCGGAAGAAACCATCAGAAAGCCGGTGTCCCCAAACTGCAAATGCTAGGTGTCCCACTGCTGGACTCTTCGTGCACCAGGCACCCGGGTGCAGAAGGCCGCGAACTGCCTGAGCCCAAGTTCGCCACTAGGTACAGCCTCACCAACTGGGCAGAGGCCGACTGCATAACTAGACCCACAGCGCCAAGACCACGGGACATGGCGATGGGGAGTGATCTAGTTCCACCTCTTCATCTGAACTAGTGTCCTAGGCACCCAAAGCAAGTCCCTCCCAAGCCCCAAGCCCGAACACGAAAAGGGCCAGGAACCCGGACCATGACTCGTTGTAGTACTCGAAGAGCCAATCTGACAACGAGGCTTCATGGAAGCTTGCAGATCTCAAACGCACGACACACGACTACACCATGCCGCCAGCACCCGGATGCTAACCCCTTAAACCCTACAAGCGCAAACAAAAAAAGCCTAAAAGCAAAAGATCATAAAACGAAAAGCCTAAAACCCACGAAAAGCCCTTAACAAAAAAACAAAAAACCTAAAACACTAAACAAAAACTGAACCTCAAAATGCTCTCATCTGGGACTTTACAAAAAAGGAGATCCCAGATTCCGGGGAGGGCACCTTCTGCGTTGCAGTCCCCCGGCCTCAAGGGGCTGTGCAGCTGCGTAGCTCCTAAACCTGTACACTTATGCTAATATGTAGTGTGTATACATATACATAAACACACACTAGGTGTATGTGTATATATATATACACATAAATGTATGTATATATATATATGTATGTGTGTGTGTTTAGAATATAAAGACCTGTGTATATATGTAAAATGTGGAATACACTGCAAGGCCCTTTCGAAATGCAATTAGGGTGACCAGAAAGCAGCCTTGTCAGAATCAACTCAACACAGCCAGCTACAAGTTTGTGCTGATCGTTCTTGCGTGTAGCAGCTGAGCCACTGACTGATCCCCAGATAGGAAGTTCACACGAGCGTGCGTCTCTGAGCGGAACACCACTTGCACACTCCTGCAACTTGGCAGCGGCAAAAACTGAGACTTTCCAATGGGCTCTCTGCTTCTTCAGGAATTATGCTTCGTCACTTGATGTTTACAAGTCTGTCCGGACGGCGTCTGGGTTCAACGTCAGGGTGGTGTTCATGGCTTCTGCACAGACCTCGGCCTTGGCGACAGGTTGGATTCAGGCCGGATGGCACGAAGCGTGGGAAAAAAAAAGAAAGCAGCACTGCTTGGTCGTTGGTCATAGCTAGGATTGTAGCTGCCACTGTTATGGCTGCTATAACTGCGGCGATGATGGTGGTTCGCTGAAAAGCTGGAAATTTCGAACCCGAGTCCACGGCCTGAGGGTTGCTGCAATTCTCACATATTCTCACCTTGTACGTGGTGTTGGACATCAACCTCAGCCACCAAGAATGGCTCCAGAAATCTGCATGCGATTGCAGCAAACATCCGAAGAGAGGCAACAAGAGCAACTCTCTTTCCCTGATCCCAGCTGGCTGAACTCACAAAGCTGAGGCTCAGGTCCAGACCGGTCCAATAGGCACTCTGCGCCAACTCGAGCAGCTGGCATGCACAGCCGAGACTCGTTGGCCGGGCGCCAATCCTTGCATCCATGCCACAGGCTTGCACGGGTGAAGGTGTTCATTTCTAGTATAGTTGGTGCATCAATGTTGCATCCAGAAGCTTTATGAAAGTACTATGAATTTTCCATGCATCGCCGTCCAGTTGCAAACACGTTGCCGCATCATAAACAGCAGACTGCTGATATGCAATCAAGCCCATGAAACTTCAATCACCTACAATGAATCAAGCAAATGCCAAACAAAGATGTGAACTGCATGTGTCGGACTCGGTTTCAGACATCCTCGTCACCCCGCTGATGCTCCACGACCTGTTTCAGCAAGAGCCTTTTGTTTCCACTGCATGTCATATTGAAACCATGATCGTCATCGTTGCTGATGACGACCATGACGACGATGGCGGCGGCGATGCTTAAAGCTGCTGATGTTGTCAAATCTGCTGATGCTGATGCTGCTACAAAATGAAGGTTCATTAAGGATGGTGTTATGATACTTTTGCTTTGAGTACAGTGTACTACGGCCATTGCTATTACAGCCGTGTGCGATGAAGGTGAGACTGCTGACTAGAATTTCTGTTGAGGGCTCAAAGTCGTTTCTCCCCACGGAAGGTTTATTGGTAAAAGACGTGTGCTTTCAGCTTTTTTCAGACAAATTTCATGCTGGAACAATTCAAGGGAATCACAATGAAAGTCGCAGATCCCGATCGCTGTCGGAGACTCACATACATCGCAAAGGCAGGTCGAGCTGTGCATGCCTCATAAACGCTCAACACCCACGGCCCTGCCCAACTGGTGCCTTGCCGGTGTCAGCCTGCAATCGAAACTCAATTCTTGTTGAAGTGTTCGCAGAAGCACTCGTACTACTGCTACAATTGCTACAGCCACCATGACGAGAAGTATTGCACTGGAATTCATATTCTAGTTCGGGCCCCGATGGCTCTAGCCCAGATGCCTTCATAGCTTTATGGTGATCTGAGAAACTGGCGCTGGAACACAAGAGAATTCAAAGTTCGTCACAGATAACTATCCTGACCACGTCTGCCGCAGCAGCATGCAACTGGTGCTCACTGTCCGACTGCCCTCATGGACCTCATCCAAAAGCTGCAAAGAAAGCATGGCAACGTTTGGCACTGTTGCTTGCGTCAGTGCCATTAACAAATCTCGCATGCTTTGTATTTTCGTGGCTACTACCATCAGCAAAGTCACTTCCCTCAAGATGTAAAGCCGCCGAGTCCGGAAAGCCTCGCTAAGCTCGCCAACATATGCCACGAAGGCACAGTCCCATGGATCCTTCGAGTTTTGTGAGTGTAGCGACCCTGTGTGTGTGTGTGTGAGAGTGAAGGCATCCACATACAGGCGTGCACACTCAGACAGACAACCGGACGGACAGGCAGGCCGGCGGGCAGGCAGACGGACAGACATACATAACTACAATTACGGACGGACAGACGGACAGACGCACCGACAGGCATACATACAGTCATACCTACAGAGAGACGGACATACGGATAAACACACATTCATAGCTTCCTACATTCCTACATGCATACCTTCATACAATCGTACCTTCATACTGACATCCATACATACATACATACATACATACATCAGACACGCATACACACATGAAGTGTGCATGGATGTGCTTGGTGCTTGCAGATGGATTTAAGTGTCAATGTTTTGGGTGCCGTGGGTTCGGAGACGTTCACAGGGTGCCGTCGAGGCCTCTGGCACTGAACGTGCTCAAGATTGAATCGCGAAATTGCTGGGCTCTGGCATTTTGTGGGGCTCTAAACGATGCGCTCTGCGCGGTCTAGTGTGAGGGCATGACCGGTCTTGCTTTGCCGAGCTACCGTAGAAAGGGGCAAAGGTCCACGCGCTCAACACGACCCACGACGTTGGAAGTCCTGGGGTTCCATGGAAAATCTCATCTGACGCCTGGGCGACATAGGCGCATGCAGGAAAAAGCTATTCGGGCGTTTGTCATGTAGTTGTGGATAGTGTCCTCCAAAAGCTGTGCTAGGGTGGCTTTGAGTCATCGAAAACCCTTCTCCAAGCATCCTGACCTTTGAAGCATATCGTCCATGCAGCATTACAGTTTGCGAGAACACAAAAGGCTGAACACGACCCGAAATCTTTGCAGTCCCGCACCTGGAACCTTGTGTTTATGCGCCAACTACTTCTTGGACCATGGGCACTGCCACTGTCCCTCCTGCTATTGCTGCAGCACCTGCTGCAGTTCCAGCCACTACTGCCGCCGCTGCTGCCCCTGCTGCTACTTCCACAGCGGCTGCCCTATGACCACGGTTCTAACTTTCGACGAGACCTTAGTCATTACCAGCAAGAATGGCATTGACTAATGTGTTTATTGTTTGTAACACAAATCTCTAGTTGTGTATCTGCTGGGCGCCCGGCGGCCCCACCGTTTCCAGACCTGGAGAAGCAGAAACAGAAACTCCTCTCCACTTGAGGAAGACGTATCATCCCAAACCCCAAAACCCCTTAAGCTTAACCCCTGAAACTTCCCTAAACCCCAAATTCTACACCCTAAACCGTCAACCCCGGAAACCTACCCTGTAACTGCAAGAAAGATCCTGCTGCACCTTGAACAACACTCTGAGCCCTCTCATTCCTTCAGTGCTTTCGGGCTGAGGGTGTAGGTGACGCTCATGGGTAGATAGCTAAAGAAGGCGATCTGAATTCGCTGATGCCTCAAGCTATATCATGTTCACACCCCTGCATGTAACATCATGAAAAGGCCCATGACCCTTTCAAGTAAGATCCCGAGCTATGATGCTTCGCCAGTGATAACCCACACTTCCTACGCTGAGGCTGTGGCGCACGAGGGGCGGATCGGCAGGGATGGCCGGCGTTGTGAACTCGAGCAGGCTGCGCTCACTATTCTGTTTCGAAGGCTGTCTCAGGCTTCCGGGCCCTTGCAGTCTAATGCAGTCTATATGTATGTGTGTATACACACACAGATACACACACACACATATATATATATATATGTATATATAGATATACAGACAGACATGTGTATATACATATATATATATATACATATATATATATATATGTACTTATATGTGTGTATATGTGTATATGTATATATATATATATACGTATGTATACATGCTGGATACCACGGTAACCCTTCAAATAGCCACGGCGCCCCTCCCGATGTTGCACTTTCAAAACAGCGCAAGGGCACTGCCAGAGGATTGAGCAAGTCGCAACGTAAATGCCTGTCCTTCCGGCTATGCTATACTGGAGACTCAGGACTCCGGCCAGTTCAAGCACTTCCGTCCAGTTGCCCTTCGACAGCAGGTCGAGGCAGTAGGAGCGCACCTCAGCCGGCACTGGGACTAAGACGAAGTTGACGGAGTCGGCTCACGAAAACGCTAAGTCAAACATGTACGCATCTATGTACGAATATATGTGTACATATATACACACACTGCATGTGTATATGTATATATATATATATGAACATATGCATATATACGTGCGTATGTATGTATGTATGTATGTATGTATGTATGTATGTATGTGCATGTATATGTATATGTATATGTATATGTATATGTATATGTATATGTATATGTATATGTATATGTATATGTACACACATCTGTATATATGTACACATATAGATATCGATATAGATTTAGATATAGATATAGACATAATATACTGTTGCTACATCAAGAAAGCGGAGTTCAGACCTCGGTTAGTTCTCCTCGACTTGAGGGTCCGACCCTTGTGTCATAGGTGGTCTCGGACTGCAGGCCTGAACAAGGGAACACAGTGGGATGTACCAGGGTTCAGGGACTAAGGGTTTAGGGGTTTAGGGGTTTAGGGGTTGTGGGATTGGGGGTTTAGGGTCTCGGGGTTTAGGGCTTTAGGGGTTTTAGGGTTTGGGGCTTTGGAGGTTTAAGGGCTTAGGTGTTCGAAGTCTGGCCTTCGGTAACCGTACAGTTCACATCCTCGTAGAGCGAGCTGATGCCTTAGACCGCGCGCTTGACGCCAGACTGAAACACTCACAGAAGAAGCCGAGTCAACAGACTCGGAAGGAGTGAGCCGAGCCAATTTGGCGAGGTGCATTCCTCTGCCAAGAACCACTCGCCATCTGCGGGTCGCAACTCCAACTCCCATCCTTGCACATGGCAAAAAGATCCGGGAACGCAAATGCAAGTTTCACCGACAAGTACTGCTTGCAGTTGTCTACTCACTGCCATTCACACATGCTGTTTACCAAGCCTCGGAAAGTCAATGGCACTGCCCCGAAAGCGACCAAAACTGTTGTGGTGCATTCTCTTACCAGCATACTCCTTGCATGTAACATCATATTGCTGTGCTGTCTGAGTACGGCGTCCTCAGCTGGCATTACTTGATCGTGTGACTGTTGCAGTGCTGGGAGTGTCATACCATGACGGTCGCTGTTTCGTTTTGCACGGCTTATAAAGCTCTCATGCTAACAGAGCATACTGGTTGGCTCTACTGCTCTGTGGCATCATTCTGTCGTTGCATGATTTAAAGCGATATACTGCCGCAATACAACAGCAACGTCTGTTTTTGGTACTATCTAGTTCTGCTCAATTGTTCGAGTACTGTCCTACTCGGTTCGGTTAACCTACAGTGCTCTGCGGCTGTGCTGCTTGACGGCTGCATCCCTGGATAATCCTACCGCTGCTCTTTGCAAAACGATCTCGCATCAAGACGGTTACATGTGGTTCCAAAAGAAGTGGCGCAGGTCCTGTCATTTCTAACTTTCCAAACCCAGAAAGCTGCAGGCAGGCATGCTGGTGACTTCCATGTTTGGGATTCCTTTGCTACTTCATCCCTATGAGTACCGCTGAGGAAAGGGTTGGACTGCTGTTTTCTGTGGCTGGCGTATTGTCACGCAATTCTGCTTCATTCCCATACTGTGCTGCTGCTGTGGGACGACTCCTGCACTGCTGTGTTGTGGGCTTCTCATAGCTTCATGACTTGTCTGTTTAATGTCGTAGGTTAGACACCGAGCGACACTGAGATTGAACACCAAATCTGAGATCTTGAAAGGGGAGGACCTGCTAAATTTGAGAAATCTCACATCGGACCAGCCTGTGAACACGCAGTCGTTCGCTTCACCAGCCTGGATAGTGCTGAGATGGCTTGCTTGCGAAGCGTTGCCTACTCGAAACATAGCATACAGGCGCATGCTGTACTGGTGTGTAAAATTTATGTCTGCATATATGAAAGTAGGTACATACATACACACATATACATACGCATTGAAAAAATCTGGCGAGTTTGTATATGTATGTATATACATGTACAGTCTTATTTGCGTATATTCATGTTTATGTGTATGTATATATACATAGAAATATAAAATATGTCCGATCGATTTGCACTGCATGCTGTGACACAGCCGGGTGGTCGCGACAATTAACGCGTGCTTCTCCATTCGTCGGTATATATCTACGTAATTTTCTGCGCCATCGAATGCTAAGCTGGCAGCATGCATACCATAATTTTGCTCCCAGATCGGTTTGTCATGAGACTGTTGTCTATCGATGTCGAGAATACTCTGCGAATACTCTCGTAGGCCCCTTTCGCTGTTTAAGTGCTGGTACACTGTGTGAGACATCGTCGCTTGTTCTTTTTCCTTGTGTGCTACCAACCTGGTATTATGAACGTAGTATGCACTATGAGGCATTCAGGATTCTACTCTACGTGGCCGGGGCAGTCAAGCGGCATCCCAGTCAAGGGCCACAGAGACATTGTGTCCTGCACACAGGGCCCGAACAATACCGCATCGTTGCTTCACTCTTCTTCGTGTCTACCTGCTTCTCAAAGCCCCGGAGTTACAGGGCATCTGCGAGGTCTGTTGAGACTTTGTGCAAGGCATATATATTGGTAGTTCTCATTACTCTGACTGGCGAAATGAAGAACAAAAGCAGCGACTGCGAGCCACATTTCCAACACCCCACACCAACACCCTCAGCACCACAACAGTTGGACACACCAAACTCGAACATTTGCCCATACGACCACAGCGAGTCCTGCCAGAAACGGAAAAGCCGTCAGGTTCTCGACATTCTCCGCCGGCAGGGCGCGCCCCTGCATCCGCGCACGTTGAGAAGCTGCTACGACTAGGCCACCGAAAGAGATCACCCTAAAACTTTTGTTAATGGGCTCAGGCGAGCACTGATGTGACCCAGATGGGATCTGCCGTGTACGGAGAATCCGCAGCAGGATCCTGACACTCCTCTCGCAGACCTGGCACGCTCATGGAACCTTTGGTGAACCCAGGCATCGTCGTTCACACCCTTGCTACCAGAGCTGCGCAGACATATTGAATGCATGCTGGCAGGGACGCAGCTGGTAGAGTTCCTCGCTCCAGATGACATGAACGTCGCACCTCAGAGACATCTGAAGCCCACTGCCCTAGCACTAAAAGGTTCCGACAGCCGCAAGATAAGTGCCTGGCCACGAGGTTTCGCCTGGGGCAGTGCCAAAGGGACGGGAGGAGTAAGGCGAAGAGTCAGCCCCCTCGAACCTCCCCGAATGACTAGAGCCTGCCCCACAAGTGAAACGACATAAATCTGCTATTGGTTGGAAAGCGTGTCGGGGCATTTAAATCCACACCATAGCTGCCACTAAATCCGCAGCCTGGTTCTGAAAGCGCAACTGCTAAATCCATCCAAGGCACGGTACATGTCTGCACAAGTGGTCGGCACCGTGTGCCACACCTGCTCGCCAGCCACCAGCAGTTGACACTACAACGAGCCGTCAAGTTCTCCTAAAAAATAAAAGATCAACCAGCAACTCCACCCAATCATCTGAAGCGGCGAGATCCGAAAGCCCCTTGCCTGCTCGCAGAACATGGGATACTGCCAGCAGCTCACCGGACCATCGGAGGGCGCCTGCCCAGAGGCCAAGGGATGCACTCAGGCTGCCCTGGGAATCGATGGTAAATCATATCACACCGTGGGTCTCCGGGCTCCTTAAGTGCGAGAAAAGGCCTTTGAGCGCCTGTGAGCTCGAAAGAAGTCTCTCCAAGCAACGTGATCTGCTCCCAGGCCACGGCTCCGCCTCGCTCGCGTTCAGTCGAACCTGTACGGCCCACTTCTTGAAGACCTGGCCAGGGAGCTGGGGTGCCGGCCGAAAGAGTTTAAAGAGGCATGGTGAGGATACAGTAACATCATACATAGTAAACAGTGTATAGTACATCACATGAAGCACAAAACATAGAATAGGTAATGGATGAAACGTAGTATGTAGATGTACATTTTCTATACATATATATATATACATATGTATATACACACATAGTACCCACCCCGGTACCTAGGCTGTGTCCCGTTCAAGTCAGCCGCCTTGTCCACAACACATGTTCGTGTCGCCTTGTTGTTGCGTCTCTGGGCAAGCAATTCTTTGTTTACTATACTTCTGGCTCCCGAAGCTTCTAAGTTTAGGGTTTACTGGATGTTTGTAAGTTCAGAGTTCATTATGGCGTTTGCTCCAGAGGTTTTCCAAATTCATGGTTGGTAAATAATAGCAAGATTTTCCATGATTCGTCTGTGGAGAATCATGGAAATTGTTGGTTCTACCAACATTTCCAACAATTTCCGTGATTCCGGAAACTATGGTTCCGGCTCCCGAGGTCCAATTTCACGGAAGTTGCAGTGATAAAACCATGATTTTCGACGATTTGTCTGTGGAGAATCATGGAAACGTTCTCCAAATTCATGCAAATTGTTGGAAATGTTGGTAATACCAACTTTTTCGACGATTTGCCTGTGGGGAATCATTGAAAACGTTGGTGTTACCAACATTTCCGACAATTTCCATGATTCCGGAAACTACGGTTCCGGCTTTCAAGGTTTCTCCAAACTCATTAAATTTCTGTACATTTGGCAAACCAACATTGTCGACGATTTGTCTGTGGGGTATCATGGAAAACGTTGGCTTTAGCAACAACACTTCCGGCTCCCGAGTAAAATCAGCATTTTCGACAATTTGTCTGTGTGGAATCATGGAAAATTTTGGTTTTACAAACATTTCCAACAATTTACATGGTTCCGGAAACTATGGCAACTATGGCTCCGGCTCCCGAGGATTCTCCAAATTCATGGAAATTGTTGGACATGTTGGTAAACCGTCATTTTCGACGAGTCGTTTGTGGGGAATCATGGAAAACTTTCCATGATTCCGGAAACTGTGGCTCCGGCTCAGGTTTCTCCAAATTCATGGAGATGGTTAAACATCTTGGATTCGCCAGCAATGTGCACAGATAGATATTTCAAAACGGTGTTGCCAAAATATTTGCGGCTAAGCACATCTTATGTACTCAGGCAATGTGTGTTTGCCAAATGAGCCGGTAAGGCTTTCGCATCCTTGATAAAACTCAACAGCTTGTCCAACACGAAACTAACGAACTAATCTCTGCTTGAGGACGTTACTGCGCGAACAGCAATCCATTGGCTTGTCTGCTTATCACACACACAGAGCTATACTTCATGTTTACGGTTCAAACTTTACTCTAGGAAAACTATTGCTGTACGAATATGCCTATGCTGGTTTAATCACACACTTCTTAAGACAAATGTATAAGGTATTTATTTATGTCATATGTTGCTTGGTGTTTGCATGGGGGGCTTTAGTCGTTTTTATGCATTGTTTGGTGTGGCGTTATGTGAATACAATAAGACGACCTTTATCAAAAACACCTATCATTCGCACCAGAATTCTGACATACATCATTGTCAAATCGTCATCATTTGGTAGGTGCAACATTTCGAAAATGATTTTGAAAAGACTGCGAATCCTAGCCCGACCAATCAATGCACAGGAACTGTGTTATGCACACAGTTGAGATGAACTAAACTCAGACTAAAATGTCGAAATTAAACGGGCCTGCAAAAATGCTAGCACATCGACTTATAAAAACGGAACATAGAACCGCAACGACATGTTGTATTATGTTTGACTTGGAGCACTAACAGTCCACTCTCAACTGGTTCGAAACAACCAAACGTGTTACGTGATTATCCATCATCCTACCAAGAGGTCTCATGAGCCAGGTGTGAATATTCAACAGGTACTGAATGGGTAAGTTTATACTTATCAGAATGTATAAACATCGGACGCAGCAGGTAGTACAGTTACTTTATATATAACGCTGGCTACTATGAAGCAAAGTTTCGGGACAGTTTGCGAAGGACTCTGAATGCGTAATCGCAACAGTAGTTAACACTGTGAATCTTGATTCAGAAATGATAAGAAACCGGGATGTACATCATTTTAATTCGGTTAGTATTGATGAAGTACAATAACTACAGTAGCAGGAACTACGGAAATGGTCAAACATGTGATAACAACATTGCTAGATGTAATACTAAATAGCCACACTTGGTTTTTGAATTCGACATAGAAGAACAGATTATGTAGCAGTTTAGACATGGTTGAGAAGAAACCCAGATCGGATTCTTCGGGCAATGAAGACTATACCGTACTCCAGTGGAAATACCTGAACCTACACGTATCATTGTGGGTCATGAACTGCTACCATTGTTGCTATTGAC